GACGCTGGGGTGACACTGGGTGACACTGGGTGACGCTGGGTGACGCTGGGGTGACACGGGGTGACACTAGGGGACACTAGGGGACACTGGGTGACATTGGCAGCCCGGGGTCCCTCCGGCCCCTCCCATCCCTCGCGCCTGCGCTGTCCCCGGCCCCGCCCCCCGACCCGGAACGGGGCGCGGCCGCCACTGACACCGTTACGTCACCGGCGCGCTGACGTCACCGTGCGCGTGACGTCACCTCGCCGCGGGGCCGCGGCCGCCCGTGAGTTTCCCGGGGAGGGTCCTCGGGGGTCGCGGTCACGTGGCCGGGGGTTCCGGGGGGTCCGGGGGGTCCGGGGGCACCGGGAGCGGGGGCAGCGGGGCGGGCCGGGGGCTCGGCGGGGCTCGCGGGGCCGGCGGCGGTCACGGGGTGTTGGGGGGTCCCGGTTGTGTGTGGGGGTGTCAGGAATCTTGGAGTCTCCGGGGGGCGCCGGTGGCAGCGGCGGGGCCGCGGCTTCCCCTGGAGGGCGGGGGCGCACGGGGGTCCCTGCGAACCCCCCCGAGGTGCGGCCGGGCCCGAGGAGAGCCGGGATCCCCCCGAGCCCCCCCGGGATGCGGCCCGCTGGCTCCGGGGCTGTTCCCGGGGCTCTTCCCGGTTCCCGAGGCTGTTCCCGGTGCTGCTCCCGGTTCCCGGGGCTATTCCCGAGGCTATTCCCGGGGCTGTTCCCGGGGCTATTCCCGAGGCTATTCCCGGGGCTGTTCCCGGGGCTGTTCCCGGTTCCCGGGGCTGTTCCTGGGGCTGTTCCCGGTTCCCGGGGCTGTTCCCGGGGCTGTTCCCGGCTGATGGGGTGATTCCATGCCGGGGCTCCTCCCGACTGCCAAGGCGAGGCTGTGCCGGGGCTGCTCCCGGTCCCCGGGGCTGTTCCCGGTTCCGTTCCCGGTTCCCGGGGCTGTTCCCGGTGCTGTTCCCGGTGCTGTCCCCCGTTCCGTTCCCGGTCCCCGGGGCTGTTCCCGGTTCCGTTCCCGGCTCCCGGGTCTGTTCCCGGTGCTGTTCCCGGTTCCCGGTTCCGTTCCCGGTTCCCGGGGCTGTTCCCGGTTCCGTTCCCGGCAGGACAAGCCGCTGCCGTTCCGGGGCCATTCCCCGCTCGCTGCCGCCGCTCCCGGTGCCTCCCATCCGCTCCAATCCCATCCCGAACTACAGCTCCCAGCGCTCCCCGGTTCTCGCCGTTCCCGGCCGGATCCGGCCCCGCTCGGCGCCTTCCGCACCCCAAATTCCGGGGGGAGGAGGAGGAGGCCGGGGGACCGAGGCCGCCGGAGCCGCTCCGGGACTGCCGCGCTTCTCCGGCCCGCTTCCCGCTGTCCTTCCCGCTGTCCTTCCCGCTGTCCTTCCCGCTCCCGTTCCCTCTCCCGCTCCCGTTCCCGCTCTCATCCCGCCTCTCCCGCTCTCCCAGGACCCCGCCGCGGCCATTTGAGGGACTCGGTGGCGGAAGGAGACCGGGAAAAGGCCGGGAAGAGGCCGGGAAAGAGCCGGGAAGCGGCTGCAGAAGAGCCCTCGCAGAGGCCGGGAAGGGCCGGGAGGGGCCCGGGGGGAGCGATGTCCGCGGGGGGCGCGCCGCAGGTACGGGGGGGATCCCGGGGGGATTCCGGGGGATCCCCGCTCCTCCGCCACCCCCGCACATCTGGGGGGGATTCCTGGGGGGATTCCGGGGCTGGGGGCTTTGCCGATGGTTTTTCCCATAATCCCGGCAGCCCCCCAGGAGTTTTTCCGGGAATTCGGCGCATTGGGAAGTCCCGGAGCGCGGGGGGGGCCCCACCCCGGGCGCTGCCTCCACCGGGCTCCGGGGCTTTGGGGTCACGAGAGGAATCCGGGAGGGCCCGGGGGACTTGTGGGGTGCGGTGTCCCCGGAAAAGCGGGACCAGCTCCTCAGGAGCGGCTTTGGGGACAGGAACCTCTTTGGGGGTCAGGGATCTGCTTTGGGGGAACGAGGATCCTGTTCGGGGATCTGCTGGGGATTTTCTTTGGAGGGGTGGGGATGTGGGTTGGGGGCGCAGGGATCTGGTTTGGGGAGCAGGGATGTGGGCTCCGTCCTGGAGCAAAGAACCCAGAGCTGATATTTGGGGTGCAGGAACAGGGGCACGATCCCTGTCCTTGGCCTGTGGCCAAACCCAGGGAAAGGTCCCCAAACGTCCCAAAATGGCCCTAAAATGTCGCTGAGCCGCTGCCCCCTCCCCAGCCCGCCCACGCCCTGGATCTGCTCCCGTATTCCCGGCTGAGCCCGGCGCCGCGGGCCGGATCCCAGCTGGATGCCGTCGGCGCCGAGATCCCGTCGGATCCCTGCACAGGTGAGCGGGGCCGGCGGGGAATTTTCCGCACAGAGCTCGGTGCATTTTTGTGGGAACTTTGAAGCGGGATGATGAAAGCGTCCTGGGGATTCCCGGCGATGGGAGAGGCTGCGGGAGTGAACCCAGAGCCCAGCGGTGGCTCCGTCCCCCCTCGCCCGCAGCCCGGTTTTGGGGAGTGGCTCCAGCCCAGCCGTGCCGGTGGCAGAGCGTCCCTGACCCCGCTCTGCCGTGTCCCCGGTCCCCAGGGTACCGCTTCTTTAAGCCGGGGGGTTTGTTCGGGATGAAGCCGCCGGAGGAGCCGTTCGGAGCCGCGCGGACGGGCCCGGAGGACTCCAAGGCTCTGGGCAGCCCCTGCGCCGGTGAGTGCGGATCTGCGGGAATGGGGGAGCAGTGGGATCGGGGGCTCAGGGGCAAACACGGCCCGGGATGGTTTGGGGGCATTCTGGGCCACTTTAGGACTTTTTGGGGCCGGCTGGGGGCTGTTCTGAGCCAGTTTGGAGCAGTTTGAAGACCTTTTCCAGCCATTTTGGGCCAGTTTCAGCCATTTCGGAGCCATTCTGGGCCAGTTCCCGGCCGTTTATGACCAATGCATGGTAATCCTGGGCCAGTTGGTGGCCATTGCGGGCCGGTTTTGCGAGCCAGTTTTGGCCATTTCAGACGGGCTTTTGCCATTCTGAGCCAGTTGGGACCATTTTGGACCCGAGTGTCACAAACTGAGGGGTTTGGGGGCCCTTCGGGGTGTCCCAGGTCCCCACGGTTCGGTGGTGAGGGGCCCACAAGGAAGGAGGGGGCCGGGCCCGGGTCCCCTCCGCTCGGGACAGGCCGGAATTCCCCGGGAGCCGGGATAACACCGGCATCTCTCCGGTGCAGTGGAGCCTGGGCGGGTGAGCAAGGTGGAACCCGAGGAGAAGCCCGGGATCGGCGCCGGCTCCCTGGAGCTGTTTCCGGCCGCGGGCGGCAGCTCCGGCCGCTGGTTCCCCGGCGGGCAGCGCGGCCCCGAGCCCCCCCGGGACCCCCCGGCTCCCCGCGCCGGCTGCTGGGGGGCCCAGGGGGGCGTCCCCGGCCCCTTCCGCTGCGCCCAGTGCGGGAAGGGCTTCCGGCAGAAGCAGAGCCTGGTGACGCACGAGCGCATCCACACCGGGGAGAAGCCGTTCCGCTGCGGGGACTGCGGGAAGAGCTTCAGCCAGCGGCCCAACCTGCTGACGCACCGGCGCGTGCACACGGGCGAGCGGCCCTTCCCCTGCGCCCAGTGCGGCAAGAGCTTCTCGCAGAAGGCCAACCTGCTGGCGCACCAGCGCATCCACGGCGCCCACCCCGACGAGGGCAAGGCGCGGGCGCGGGCGCCGGCGCGGGGCTGCCCCGAGGACGCGCCCTTCGTGTGCCCCGAGTGCGGGAAGAGCTTCCGGCAGAAGCCCAACCTCATCACGCACCGGCGCATCCACACGGGCGAGCGGCCCTTCTCCTGCTTCCTGTGCGGCCGCAGCTTCAACCAGAAAACCAACCTGGTGACGCACTACCGGGTGCACACAGGTGAGCGGCCCTTCGCCTGCGCCCAGTGCGGCAAGCGCTTCACCCAGAAAACCAACCTGGTCACGCACCAGAGCACCCACACCGACCTGCGCCCCTTCCCCTGCGCCCAGTGCCACAAGTGCTTCAAGGACAAGGTGTCCCTCAAGGCCCACCAGAAGACGCACGTCCCCCGCCAGCGCCGCTGCCCCGCGCGCGGCCCGGCCCCCGCCGCGCCCTTCGGGGCCGCGCCCGCCCTGCTGCCCCCCGCGCCCGCCCCGCAGGACCCCGCTCCCTTCGCCCCGCTCCCGCCCGCCCCGAAGCTCCCCGAGGGCGCCGAGCTGTTCCCCAGCCCCGAGAAGGGCTTCCCGCCCCCGCCCCCGGGCGAGCCCCCCTTCCCCTGCGCCCACTGCGGCGACGGCTTCTGCCCCAAGGTGCCCCTGCTGCGGCCCCCCGAGGCGCCCTCCGCGCCCTTCGCCCCCGCCCCGCCCCTCCTGGGGCCCCTGGGGGCGCAGCCGGGGCCGGGGGATGCCGCGGCCCCCCCCGAGAAGCCCTTCATCTGCAACCAGTGCGGGAACAGCTTCGGGCTCTGGCTCGCCCTCGTCGCCCACCAGAAGAGCCACGCGGGGCACAAGCCGTGCCCCGGCGCCCCCCCCCCGGAGCCGGGCGCCGAGCAGCCCCCCGGGTCCCCCCCGGCGCGGGCGGGCGAGGGCCGGCCCTGGCCGTGCCCCGAGTGCGGGCGGGGCCTGGCGCAGTGCGAGCGGCCGCCGCGGCACGGGCACGGCGCCGGCGGGCGCGGCCCCTTCCGCTGCGACACCTGCGGCAAGCGCTTCAGCCTCAAAACCAACCTGGCCACCCACCAGCGCATCCACACAGGTGAGCGGCCCTTCACCTGCGGCGTCTGCGGCCGCCGCTTCAACCAGAAGGGCAACCTGGTGACGCACTACCGGGTGCACACGGGCGAGCGCCCCTTCGCCTGCGCCCAGTGCGGGAAGCGCTTCGCGCAGAAGCCCAACCTGCTGGCACACCAGAAGACGCACCTGGGCCGCCAGCCCTTCACCTGCCTCGAGTGCCCCAAGCGCTTCAAGAGCAAACTGTCCCTGCGGGTGCACCAGCGCGTGCACACCGGGACCCCCGGCCCGGCCCCCGGCGCCCTGGACCCCGCCAGGAGCCCCTTCCCCTGCGCGCTCTGCGGGGAGGCCTGCGCCGAGCACGGGGTGCTCCGACCGGGCCACGGCGGCGGCGAGCGGCCCCACGGCTGCGGCGAGCAGCTGCACGGCTGCGCCAAGTGTCCCCACGGCTGCGCCGAGCGGCCCCACGCTTGTGCCGAGCGGCCCCACGGCTGCGCCGAGCGGCTCCACACCTGCGCCGAGCAGCGCCGCAGCTGCGCCGAGCATCCTCACCCCTGCAGCGAGCATCCTCACCCCTGCAGCGAGCATCCTCACCCCTGCAGCGAGCATCCTCACCCCTGCAGCGAGCATCCTCACGCCTGCGGGGAGAGGCCCCACGCCTGCGGGCAGCCGCCCCCCTGCGCTGAATGTCCCAACCCCTGCGAGCAGCCCCACGCGTGCAGCAAGCGGCCCCACGCGTGCGCCGAGCATCCTCACACCTGCGAGCGGCCCCACCCGTGCGAGCGGCCCCACGGCTGCGCCGAGCAGCCCCACGCGTGCCCCGAGTGTCCCCACGCGTGCCCCGAGTGTCCCCACGCGTGTGCCGAGTGTCCCCACGGCTGCGCCGAGCGGCCCCACGCGTGCGCCGAGTGCGGGAAGCGCTTCCGGCAGAAGGTGAACCTGGCCGTGCACCTGCGGACGCACACCGGGGAGCGGCCGTTCCGCTGCGCCGACTGCGGCAAGGGCTTCAGCCAGAAGGCTCACCTGCTGCGGCACCGCCGCACCCACGGCGCCGGCCTGGCCCCGGCCTGCGCCGCCGGGGACCCGCTGGCCAAGGGCCCCGAGCCCCCCGCGCTGCTGCTGCCGCCCTGCTCCCGCGGAGCGCCCCCGGCGCGCCCCGACAGCCCCTCGGGCGCCGCCGACATCCTCCTGCAGCTGATGCAGGACGAGCCCCCGCCCGGCCCCGCCGCCGTCCCGGCCCCGGTGCCCCCCTGTAAGTGCCCCGGGGCGGGCCCGAGCCCCCGGGCACCGGGGCTGCCCCCGCCGTGCTGCTGCGCCGCCTGCCTGGCCCCGCGCCCCCCCGAGCCCCCCCGCGGGCAGCTCTGGGCCAAGGCCGGGGGCTGTGCTCGGGCCTTCGAGGAGAAGCGAGTGCCGGGAGCGCCGGAGCGGGAGTGCGGCGAGGAGAAACCCGCCCCGTGTCCCGGCTGCCTGTGAGACCCCCGCTCCGGGACCCCCGCCCTGCCCCGGCTGCCCGTGACTCCCTCACACTGAAAACCCCACCGAGACCCCCGGCAGGGGCCGGCCATCGGCTCCTGCGCTCACCCGCAGTGAACCTGGAGGAGGATGGAGCCCAGGGGACACAGCCGAGGGGACACCGCCGGCCGGATTCAGCACTGGGACTCGGAGGAGCCTCCAGCAGGGAGTGGGGACAGCAGAGCCGGGACACTGCACGTTCCTGGCCTGGGAAGACACCAAAGGGCCGGCGGAGACAGCGCTGGAGCCGGATCTGCCGCGTTGGCTCCAGCCGCACACACCAGGAGAGCTGGACACGGCGGAGTTGCATCCACTGCAGCCAGACTTGGGACGAGAGGGGCCCTCAGGGGCTCCCTCTGCTTCCAGAACCTTCCACGCTGTTCCGGACTGGGTGGCGTTGCTTAAGGACACGGTTGGGATGGGAGCGCCGGGCCCGTCCTGCTGCGGGCTGACCTGGGGTCCCCAGTGCGGCTCCGTGGGGAGGAGCGGGGAGCGCACTGGGAAAACAGCCGGGAAAAGGGCCTGGAAGGGCTCAGCTCCGCTCCAGAAGGGCCCCGGAGACGCCTCCGGTGCCGGGGGGATGGGGGGGCCGCTTGTGCTTCTGCTTGCTCTGGATAACTGCGCGCTTTGGGACTCAATACTCGATTTGGGATGGGTGGTGCCGGGGTGGCCGCTGGAGCCGGCGTTGGAGCCGCGCTGCCGGGGGCTGTGGGAGGTTCCGGTGGCACAGAGGGCACGGGGGGCTTTGCTGGGCTTTGTGTGGCGGCTCCGGGTCCCCCCGGTGTGCCAGAGCCGGGGAGCCGTGCTCTCGGACCGAGCTTCGGCCGCAGACACCGCTGGGAGCTGCCATCGCTTCATCCCCGAGGGAATGGGATCCTCTGACGGGAGCGACACCGGGACGGCCGCCCCTGGAGCCCCGGCTGGGCAGGGGTCCCGCCCCAGCCCCCCTCCCGCAGCTCTGCTCTCTGCAATTCTATTTTTTGAGGTTATTTAAAATAAAAGCTTCTGATGGCTCTGGGGCTCCCGGTGCTCTCTCTGGGATGGGGCGGGGGGGCCCAGGGGTCTCTCGGGATCCTCAATCCTGGCCTGAGCCCCGGGAAGGGCTCTGACCCCTGGGCTGTGGCCAAGGGGCCGCCAGGACAGTGCCAGGACAGCGCCAGGACAGTGCCGGTGCCAGCTCCGGTAGCTTCCACCTG